CTGTTTTTATTGTAATTTAATTAATATTTATTGTTAAATTATTGAGAACTGCCCAGAGTCACTTCTTCATGAGATGGGAGGTATCTAAACTTGAAATAGAAGGTTAAAATACATATGTTACTATTTCTGGTAGCTTTTAATAGACTTTTGCTGATTAGGATTGAATGATGAGTTTTTACAATTTGATTATTGATAAAGGATGAGATATGGGAAGAAGAGTTTTTTTTTTAATAGAAATACTAGAAAAGGTGTTAAGTTACTGAAATTGTTTATACTTGTCTGGAGGGAGGGGGGAGTCAACTTTTATAAATCTTTTTCCTTTCCTTTTTCCTTTCTCTGTTTCTATCTATGCTTCCCTTTTTTTCTTTGTTTTTTATATCTTCCTTAGTTTGTATTAGTCTTTTATCTTTGTATTTATAAACTCTAATAAAATTATATTTTAAAAAATTAAAAAAAGAAATTGCCCAAAAGGTAAATATCATTGGCTATATGTGAAGTATGAGCCATAGAATCCCCCTAAATCAGTGGGATACAAATCAAGGTAGTTTGGAATAACCCTCCTCCATCTTTATAAGAAAGTCCTGGAAAATAATCTGACTGTGAAAATATACCTCACATTTTGACTCTTCCATCTCTAGAACATTCACCTCTGTTCTTATCTCTAACTTCTGCTATCTCCTTCCTTTCTTTTGTAGTTTCCAGGCCTCAGAGCTCTCCTCAAGACCTGAAGGTGCTCATGGGAAACGTGAATCAGCTAAATGAAAGTTTTCAGGACCTTCAGCTGAAAACAGGGAAGCAGCTACCCTTCAAAGGAGACATCCTGAACCACATTTGGAGCCTGCAAGACATGCTTCAGAACCACTCTGACTCTCTGCTAATACTGAGCAGCTCACTTCAGAAGTTGGAGGGGGCACTCAGGAGCCTGCAGGCTCAGGCATCTCAGGCAGATCGAGTCCTTTCTGGTCTACGGGATAGCTTGAGCCAGCAAAATGATGTGACGCAAATGGAAATCTACAAGCTCGCTGTAGAGGGGAACAGTAGCCGCTTGCTTTTGAAGCACCATGAGAGCTTACTCTCTGAGATGGCTTCTCATGTGGAAAGCTTGAATGACCAACTGACAGAGGTAGGTGGGCAGGTGGGCAGCATGAACCGGACTCTGTCTTATGACGTAGGAATCCACCACACCCGCATCCAGGACCTGCAGGTCCTCATTAGCAATGCCTCAGAAGATGCTCGGCAGATGCGCCTTGTCCACATCGCCATGGAACAGCAGCTCAAGCATGAGCTGGCCATTCTGAACAATGTGACTGAGGATCTGAGGCTCAAGGATTGGGAGCACTCCATTGCTCTGAGGGACATCACAGTGATACGAGGTAAGGAGTGCAGCAAATATAACTGCTTATTTGATTCAGGCGTAATTCAAGGTGCTAGTTGTCACCTTGAGGGCCCTTCATGACTCAGGGTCTGGATACCTAGGAGACCATCTTCTCTGGATAGAATCTGCCTGCCCAATGAGATCAAGAAGAGAGGGCTTGCTGAGGGTCTCTTATTTGAGGAGATGCCGTCTATAGGGATCACAAGGGTGAGTCTTCTCAGTGATGACTTCCTTTTTTGGAACAGCGTATCCCTGGATATTTGGTCCTATTCCAGTTGAGTGGGCTTCTGAAGGGCCATGAAGACCTTGCTGTTTAGGAATGCCTTTGGGGATGTGGAGGTTTAGCCTACCTCCATTGGATGGTGCTGTCATACTATATCGGTGGTGTTTATGTGTTGGATGTTTTTAACCCTTATTGTGGCATCCTGTAAGCCACTTGGAGCCAACGAGAACTTAGTTAGCTACATACATAGGTAGCTTAGAACTTAGTATAGAAGCTACATACAATGCATTCAGCTAATCTTTGTAAATTTACTTTAAATTCTGGCACTATTTGACCATTCCAAGTTAATCATGGAGCATATCATAGAGGCTTAAAAATATTGTCTGCCAGAGCTGGTAATGTATCATCTTTTGTACAATATGTGCATGATAAATTTAATATGGAATGATATCCCCCTAAAGATCCAGATGGCTCTCACCCTGATGGTGTTCAGGAAGTTATTAAAGACCTGGCGATTCTCCCAAGTTTTGGGGCAGAATAAAAGTCGAGCTCCTGCTGGATGGGGTTTTTTTGGTTGTATATTGTTTCTGGGGCTGTTCATGATTCTCTTTTGTGTTTTGTATTTTTATACTTTTAATTGTAAGTCTTCCAGAGTCATTGGGAGTTGGGCGGCCTATACATTGTATAAATTAATAAATAGCCTTGAACTATAGGAGCAACATTTCTTGAAAACTGGGACAAGGGAAATAGGGTGAGAACATTGAACAAGTCAGTGTGAGGACAATAAATATTATTTTTATTCTTATTTGGATTTGTGACATCATTGTGTAGCTAATAATTGGCTATGTGGTGCCATCAAGAAAATATATTCAGATTAAATGTATTGTTCTCGCTCACTTCTGATTGTGATATTATGATGTGACAAAGGGATTTTTTTTCCTCCATATTGCCTATATGGGCTGGGCTAGCCTCAGGGAGATTCCTGTATATTGTTTCTTTTATTTGGTATAATCAGCAAATATACTACTTAATTGCTCAGCTCTACCTGCAGATTATTTATATATAGATTAATAAGCATTAGCCCAAACTAGTCCAATCCCTGGTGCAATGTGTGTGTGACATTATGCACATGTCACAAGGGTGAGAATTACCCATATAACCCTAATTTTTGTTTCATGTTTTTAACAATTGCTAATTTATAAGAATATTGTTCTCTTACCCCATGGAGCTCAATTTCCTCAGAAGCCTTTGGTGAAGGAGTTTGTCAAAGGGTTTTGAAAATCCAGATAGTATATAATATCTATTGGGTAATCCATGCTTACTGATGAAACATGTAGAAGGTTACTGAGACAACACTTGGCTTCCTGGAAGCCAAACTGGTTCTTGTTCAGAAAGATTTATTCTTCTATGTGTTTGTTTATTTTCTTTCTAATAGTACTTTTAACCATTCCCCCAGAACAGACAACAATGATAATCTGTTCTATAATTTGGCTATAGATTCCTTTATTACCCTTCAATTTCTTCCTGGTAAGAGTTGTTCAACGATGGAACAGACTGCCTCAGGAGGTGATAGACTCTCCTTTGCTTGAGCAGTTTAAACAGAAGCTAGATGGCCATCTGTGGAGGACATTGTAGTAGTGGCTACCTGTACCAGGCAGGGGATGGATTTGATCTCCAAGGTCCCATTCAACTCTTACATTCTATGATTCTATGATTTTCTCTCCCCTTCTGATGATACTTCTGTTTGGAAATTCCAGTTTGACGAAGATTACTGCAGAAGATGACTGAGTTTTCTGTATGCCTTCTCCATAAGATTCTCTTTCTATTCTATTCATTTTGCTTGCATTATTTTAATAATATGCATTTTGTCTATGTGCTGCTAGGTTCATTTCATTCTTCCTGAGTTATCAAGAAGAACAAGAAATGAGAAGCTTTTCCATGGAAGAGCTGGGGTATGCGTCTTCTAATAGAGTTTTCCTCATTCATCTTGAGGGGGGCTGTTAAGACAAAGGATGAAATTATGTTAGCCATGGAGAAGTAAAATGAATTAAGACACGTTTAGGTTGCACTTTTCCATCTGGTGGAAACTTGTCCTCTGTTCATGCAGGAGTTTTCTTTGTGGATATTGTGCCCTATCCTCTGGATTGCTTATTTCAAGTTCAGCTCAAAGCACAAAGTGTTGCTGGGGATTTGTTTTGGCAGATGGAAAAGATTTGTCAAGGCAGGGTTCTTGTCTTCTTCCATTCAGACCTGCTCCCTTGATTTTGATCAGAATGATCTACAAGGTAGTAAGAACTTGCATCTACCAGCTGAGCGTTGCACACAGGAGGAATGGCCAGGCTTGAGGTCTTGTGAATAAGAAATCTTTTTCACATATCAGAGCCATTCATGTATCTCCCAGAGCCAAACTGACTGGAGCTGTTTGACTGTTGCTACTGAGAACTGTGTTATGCAGAAGGTTTTGTGAATGTCCTTTATAAATTGCCTTTTGGAGGGGTCATAATTGTTCCTGGGGAGCCCCTGCCCTTCTGTCCATTTGACCTCTTCCTTTGCATCTGTTGGCAGCTATTGCTTCTCCAACCTTCTTTTTCTCAGAGCAGCCAAACATCTCCACCATACAGTTATAGTGCTTCCCACGGTAAGTAATGATGCAACAGAGATCTTCTTCATAGTGACGTCCATTTAGACATGCATCTGAATAAGGAGCTCGTTCCTCTCCATTGCCTCACTCAACCTTCCCCATATGGACATTATCCAAATATGTTGGATGCTCATCATAGCTAGCTAGGTAGGGTATAATGAGGGCATCATGCAGCGGAAGGCTGGCATTACCACCTGCATTTGAATGAGTGTGAGGAAACCTTGTCTGGATTGCTCCTTCACTTCTGTCTAGAATCTGTCCTTTTGCGAAAGTGCCACACTTTTAAAAATAAATGGGCATGTGTGCATTTGTCATCTCCTGTGGCAAGAAAACCAGAAAATGAAGTTCTGAACAGAGAAATTCTGCTTCAGTCCAGATGAATAATTGAAGAGAGAAATGCTTTTTTTCTGCCAGCTTCACGCTCACGGGAACCTTGCCACCTAGTGGTGAAGTTCCATGCATTTTGCTTTTTCTTTTAGAACAAAATGTAATTATAGATATTTGACAAAGGAGTTCTAGTATTGTTGCTGTGGTCCATGGATTCAGATACTGATCAAATTCCTATTCAAGCTATGCCTGAAATACTAGCAATTTGATTGAATAGTTAAATCCATCAAATGCTCATTTTATTTACCTGTACTTTTTGTGTTATCTATAAAACATTTTTCCTTCTCTCTTTTCCCTGTGACCAATGTTGCATAATATGGTTTGACCAAGAAGTTGACTTTAGGTTTTGAACTGGCATTAATTGCTTAAGGATGGATAGATCATTCTGTCAGTTTCACACATAATCATTCATTCCCTCTCCCTCAAATTTACAGGGCTATTTCCAGATGGTGTCCATTTCACACATGTTACCCATAAATCTGTTTAATCTAATTTCCAGACTACTATGCAATATTTTTTAAAAGCACAAAAATACACAAAAATAAATGAGAATGGATTTTCTGTCACAATATGCTTTTATAAATGTATTTCATCCAAATCGTTCATATATAGATTACTTTTTCCTCAAATATGGCTTTTAAAATACTTTGAGGTGAGAAATGCACCTCAAAATCTAGAGAAGCACAGAATTGGAAGGAAAATTATGTTCCAAATTTCACATTAGCCCAGGAGCTAAGGAACAAGTCACTTTTAATCATTAGTTGCAAAGAATGAAAATCTTCAGGCATTCTTAAAATGTCTAGTGCAGCCTTCCATATACTTGCATCCTCTTAGTATGCTAGCCTACAATGCCTAGAATCCCTGACCAATTTGACTGTTGTCTGACTGGATTTGTGGGAGTTGTAGTTCCTGGTGGATACTAGATTGGGAAAAACTTCATTTTTTTTAATACATACAGGAGATATTGGATATTTTAAGGTAACCGAGTGCAAAGTCTAGCCAGAACATTCCTGAAATATTTGCCTTAATCTTTTCTGATTGCACATACCCACACATATATCTGCACGCGCGCGCACACACACACACACACACACACAGGCAGCTATTGAGTCCTGTTGTTTTTCTTGTGCTTTCTTTGCTTTTGAGCATGACTACTTTTCAGTGATTCATTGAAACTGATAGGTTTTATATTTCCCAAGAAAGAGCATTGCTTCTTTGCCTCAAAACACAAAGGTACAATCTGAAATTTTGCTATCCGTCCATCTGTCCATCCGTCCATCCATCCAATTATCTAGGCAAGCAGCAAGTTGGGCAGTTGACAATGGAAATAGCGCAAGGCAAAAACAGTTAATTCTTTTCCCTCACACCAAGACCCTAATCCAAATTACACATTCTCTGCTTTTGGTTTTTTTTTTTTAAAACAAGCATTTAACAGATGGCCCTGTTTAAATTGGTTTACAGCAAGAATGGCCAGCTGCACCCCGAGGGCTCTGTGTGGCCACAGATTCCTCTTTTGCAGCCCTTGGCTGGCGATGTGATTACCAAACCTTAATGGTGTGTATTTCCATTATTTTGATACAGGAAGAACCTCAAACTGTAGCGTAGATCCTAATGTATGATGAGTACAAACAGTATTGTAAGAAGAAAGGACGTAGCAGCCATATATAAATCCAGTGAGTGTTCATGGTCATGGAATACTCCTAGACTGTGACCCAGTTTTTTAGGGGAGTACAATTCCATCATAACACTTCCCCACTTGTGCTGTTGCTAGCTCCCTGTTTAGGCTCAGAGAGGGGCAGGTTTCAGACAAATGAATTCAGTAGACCTACAGAAAGCTGGCTGTCATTTTTAGTATACTAAATGCATACTGTCTGGCATCAGTGACTTGTGTTCTCCTCATCTTGTGGACGGATTACAGGCTTACGGTAAAGCCCTCTATTTGGGGCTGCCTATGAATATGACTTACAAACTACAAACAGGTGGTGGGTCAGACCATGTTTAACAGAGTGATACCTATTCTTTGGGAGCGGTATTGGTTTTCAATAAGTTTACAGGTACCCATCAATGTGCTAGACATTACCTGTAAAGCCCTTTAGGGCTCAGGTGAAGAGTTGTAGGAAGTTCTGCTTCTGATTCCACCTCCCCAGATGGTTTGGGAGACAGGAACACAGAGACAAGACTTTTCCATGGCTGTCATGACTCTCTGGAATTAAGGTGGAAGTAAGATCCCTCTCCTTGCTTCGTTTAAGAACCTGGTAAGGATCCATCCTTTTCCTATGGTGAAGAAAGTGGTAATGCTGTATATGGGGTTCTGAGAACTCTGATGTCAGTCTTTTACATTGATTATGCCCTGTGGATTTATGATGCAGTTTTTATGATTTTATATTGGTTTACCTTTTCATGATATGCAGAGTCCTTGGGGTTCTCTGAGCTTGGTTCTTTTCTTGCAAACGTTTCATTACCTGGCTAGGTAACATCTTCAGTGCTAAAATGGGATGGGGTTTGCCCCCAATAATGTGCTGTGCCTGCCTTGCCAGTGCTGGTGCAGGTGGGGGTATTGTTTTGCTTCTCTGGTAGTTCCTTGATTAACCTATGTTTAGTGCTTGATTGTGTGCCTGGTGGTAACCTTTGCTTATCTGGGTGATGATTGCTGGTGATGCGATCTTCTGGTCTTTTGTCTCTTTTGAATAGTATGTAGATGCTGTTTATCTCTATGTG